CGGGCGCCTCGGAGCCCAGCGCCAACGGCGGCGGCGCGGGGGAACCGCAGCAGCCGCCGCCCGCAGCCCGCGCGGCTCAGAACCCGGTCCTCGCTCCGGTGCACGCAGGTGCCACCTCCTGGACGACGGCAGCGGCGGCGACAGGAGCCGGTGGGCAGCCGTGCGATGGGGCCCCTCCGAGAAAACAAGGTAAGCTGGACTCGTCGTGTGGGCGCGGGTGGCAATGTCCGAGGGCACGGGGGACAGGGAAGGTGAACGCTGCGGGGCTTGGTGGGGCCAGGTGAGAAGTACTGGGTGACGTTTGGAGGCCCCGAAAGGAAGTGGTGGGGACCAGGGGAAAGCAGAGGGTCATTGGCTTAGGTGATGGGATTTGGCAGATGGGGAGGTGGCACTGAAGGAAGAGATTTTGGGGGTTGACAGGAGGATGAAAGAGATTGACTTTAAAGGGTTAATCCTGTCTTCTGAAACTCGGGGTTTGGGGTAAAGCTTTCAGTTGATGTGTGTGTGTGTGGGGGGGTGAATAATAGGAATTGGATGTATTTGTGACTGAGAAATAAGGACTCCAGCATGTCAGTGACCCAGCATTGGTTCAGTCTCCATCCTGCCTAGCCAGTGGCTGGTGTGGGATACCTGCTGGGTGACTGATATGCCGGACAGATTTAGAAGCTGGGTGCGGCTTGCAGCCCCTGAAAAGCGCGGATGCCTGAGCCACCTCAGATGTTCCCTGCGGCTGGGGTTTTCCCTTCAATTCCTGCACTGTGCTGGCCTCCCAGAGGTGTTTACTTTGGCCTTGACCCTTCCTGGTAAGCCGAGGAAATGAGCAAGAGGTCATGTTGCAAAATGGTGTTTGTCACCTGAGCCAAAGCCCTCTTTCAGTTGCAGAGGTTGGAGGGAGCAGTGGAATTTTGGCAAAAAGCTCCTCCTAGGAATCCATTTTAATAAGCCTCTGTGGTGGTGACTCTGAAAGTCCACTGGGATTGAAGCTTTCCTTGCTTCTAGATGATGTACAGCCTTTTACCTACTTTAGCCTCAGTTTCCTCATCTGTAAATAGGGACATGAATGGTGTCTTCTCTATGTTACAGGCTGGAGTATAAAGATCAAATGAGATAATGGTGGGGAAAGCACTTTTAAATTGAAAACATTCCAAAATATTACTTTTGTGCATATTTTTAAGCCAAGGCATGGTATTTAATACTGTATTTTTAAGGAGAGAAAGAAAAAATTGTTCTCCTGGGCATCTTATAAGGAAAACAAAGCTAAACATGATGAGGAAGGTGGAGCCATCTTCCTGGATATTGGATTTGTGTTTGCTTTTCTGTTGGCAAGGAGCCTTGTGTAGCAGGATATTAATGAATAATTAAGATGCTGCCTGGAAGAGAAGGGATTTTAAAGATAAGTGTGTGTGATCCATCAGAAAAGAATCATTTCAGGTAGTGTAGGGGGTCTGGTCTTCTTTTTAAGGAGACAGGAAAACACAAGTCAGATTGTCACAGCTAATTCAGAGAAAGCACAATGGAAGTCTAAAGGAAACAGCTAATGTTGGAATGTTCTGTAAGTACTCAAGAACCCAGAGCTTGAATGTGATAGAAAAAGCCAACGTGAGAGAGTGGGAATGGCCTTGGAAGTAGGCTGCCCTTTCTGCTGTTGGGTGGAAGCTGTGGGTGATGCCTATGTGTGCCTTATGGAGGATCAGCAGGGTAAACTCAGCAGGAATTTGGGGGCTCATTTTAGTGACTGAGATCAGGAATATGGTAAGTTTCAGTGTTCAGAAATATGACTTCTTAGTAACTCAGCCTTGAAAGAGCAGACAGGAGTTAGGAAGGAAAAGGAGTGAGAAGCAACCTTCTTTTTTTTTTTCTTCTTTTTTCTTTTTTTTATGTCCAATTTTGAGAAGGAGCAGCGAGTGCAGCATCATGAGAAGGAGATTTCCCGAAGCCGAATTCCCCGGTTGATTCTTCGACCTCATCTGCCCCAGCAGCAGCACAAGGTATCCCCAGCCTCTGAGTCTCCCTTCTCAGAGGAAGAGAGCAGAGAGTTCAACCCCAGCAGCTCTGGGCGCTCGGCAAGGACCTTTAGCAGCAACAGCTTCTGCTCAGGTACAGTTCCCATGGGAAGCCAACACAGCAGGAAGCAGGTACCCTGTGGGTAGATTATAAATGGACCAGGCTGAGGCCCTCACAAGAACTAGACTTCTACTAGAACTTCTGCTATTAGGCTAACTTGCATATTGAACCTGTTTGGCTGTTTTAACCTCCTACAAGTACAGCAGTCGCCTATGGTTCAACCCATTGAAATTTCATACTTGTTTTAATGTGTTACTCTAGTTTATAATTTAGAATGTTAGAACTTAGAATCTAACTTCTTATTTCAGTGGCTGTTTAAAAAAGGTCTAGAAATGATATTATACTGAATTTTACACTAGTAGCCTCTATAAGCCTGTGTTCTTTTTGTTATGGAATCCCCCAAATAAAGTAACTTCTAATAAGTGAGGTCACGACCAAAGATAACTCTGTTGCGTGGCTGCCCTTGAAGTTTAGTGGAGAAGAGCACGGGCCTTGTGTTCTGCCGGGCCCGATTGTCGGAAGCTCTGAACTACCACTTACATACTGTACTATGTGATCTTGGGCTTAAGCCCCATAAGCCTCAGTTGTTACGTCCATGAAGCGGGGAGGTAATATAGGTTAAGTATCCCTTATCAAAAATGCTGAGGACTGAAAGTACTTGGGATTTTGGAGTTTTTTAAAATTTTGAATTATTTGCATATACCTAATGAGATATCTTGGGAATGGGAACCAAGTCCAACTATAAAATTCATTTATGTTTCATACACCCTTACTATACATAGCATAAGGTAATTTTATGCAATAGTGCTCCAGCCTTTTGCCTGTGATCTGTGACATGAAATAAGGTGTGGCATTTATTCATGAAAGCAATGCTAGGAATCTCTCTGTATAGCTTTCCTTAACTCAGCTATCAAAAACGCTTTGTCTTCCTTATTATGCTTATGTCTTCTCTTCAACAAAATTAGACATAAAGGCAGAACGGGTTCTGTCTGGAAGCGAGGGGTGGGGAGCAAGGGAGGGGAGCAGGTGGGGGAGAAATGACCCAAACAATGTACGCACATGTGAATAAATGAATAAAAAAAAAGAAAGAAAGAAATCAGGTGTGGAATTTTCCACTTGTAGCCTTATGTCAGTGTTCAAAAAGTTTCACATTTTGGACCATTCTGGATTTTGGATTTTGTAGTAGGGTCCAACTTATACCTACTTTGTGGAGTTTCTCTGAAGTTGAATGAGACCACTTCTCTAAGTGAGCCCCTAGCACAGAGCCTTGCTTATAGAGGTGTTCAATAAATGACAATTCCTAATATGATGAGCTATGACATCAGCTGGCACATGATTAAGGAACTATCCTTAAAACTGCGAGTGTATTTGGTCAGGGCATAGATTTCTTCATAGGTCCTCAAGTTACCACCATTATCACTTGACAGAGCCTATGGTACCCATTTTGAAGCACATACTTTAAAAGGACATGTATTTTTTGAGATGTGTTAAAATTTTGGGCAAAATTTAAAGGAGTGATTATCCTATGATTAGTAAAGGATGTGTCACGGGGCATAATTTGTTTAGAACACATTTAAGCAGAGTGTGTATAGGAGAAGGGACATGTGAATCAAGATGCTATGATCAATGTTCTAGTTTAGCAGGATGTGACATTCCATTGAGTTTAGCGCTGGGAACTACATTTTTCAAGTATTTTCATAAGTACAGCTTTGGATTTATGGCATACTTTTAGAAAATAATCCCATCCTACACACAAATTGTTTTATAGAAAAACTTTATTACCTACTTTTTATTTTTTTTCTCTATGAAGTCTCAGATTCTCTGCTTGGTTCTGAAAAAACCGAAATAGTATGTTTTAAAACTTATTTCTTGCCAACTGAATGATACAAATCTGGTTGAAAATAGAAACTCACTGATTGTTTGCTTAATACAAGAAGAAGAAAAAAAAATTACCGACAAGCTAGAGCAGTTAAGGTTCCTAGTCGTATTTGCAGAATGTAATGTTGTTTACTTTAACTTCATTTTGGAGCTCAGTGCTCACTAGCGAGTACAAGGCATCATTTCAAACTGACACTGCTTTGTTTACATAACTCAACTCCACATTTATTCCTGATATTCTCTTCACATACTCACTTTCTCTGTAACTTCAGGACTGTGTAGAGTTATCAGAAAATGTTGGCCAAAACAAAACAAAAGAAAAAAGTCAAATATAGATAGATGGACAGATAGATAGATAGATAGAAAATATAAAGGCAAGCAATAAAATTATTAATTTTGGTTATGAATCATTCTCTCTTAGACCCATTTCCTGAATTGTCCCTTCTTCCCAGAAGACCTGTCTCCCACCAAGGCTATAATGGTGTACATGAAAATTGAAAGTAGATATTGATCCTTCTGTCATTAACTATCTGAGAATTGAGTGGCAGAAACATATAATTTGGGTCTCTATAAACCAACCTTTCAGTCTTTAGCCTTGCATCCTGTCTCAAGGTAGGATTCCCTCTGTTTCTGGGCCCCTCCCTCATCTTCCTGTGTTGGCTATTCCCCAAGGTTTGGGTCTGATGCCTTTCCCTTTTTTGCTTTCCTTTCCTGCAGACCCCTGATGAGCCCTACAAAGGCTTTTGGCTGCTGGGCTGACTAAAATTGACAGTAGCAAGGCCTTTGGGGGCATGTTAATGATGCTTTAGGAGGTCAGTCAATGGGAGGAAAATAAATGGGTTTGGTCCTATGGGGAGTTCTAATGCTGCAGGCAGTGAGGTAGAGAATGTAAACCATGTCCAGCCAGCAGGGGGAAACAGCTAGTTTTAATTCAGCCCTTCAAACACTGAGGCCAGAATATCCATTGCTTAATCATGGCAGTTAGATAACACAAGATACAAACATTAAATATACCATTCTATGCTAGAGCGAAATTAAACTTAGAGGTGCCTGTTGTCACCAAAGCTTCATAGCCATACAGGGGTCAATCTGCATTGCCTTATGTTCATTTTAAATAGCCACATTCACCACTGTGAAAGGGAACATGTGGAGTTAAGGGAATTTTTAGAATCAGAAAATTAAAATACAGAGGAAGATGTTATTCAAACACCATGAAATTTAATTTGAAAATTATCCTTTCTCTTCCCCAAATCTGTATCAAATGCATTAATTTTAAAGAGCATCAGATGTTCTAAAATGTTTGTTTTTTGAAATAAAGATTATGTAGTAAGAGTGAATAAAGTTGCATTTATTTAATATGAAATATTAGTGTTTATTTTGAGAGTTCAGCATTCTAGTCATTTATATAAAAACATATATGTAATAGTAGATAATACTTCTAGTTTTCAAAAAACTCTGATAACTCTACGTTATCTACCCCCATTTCCATGATTTTCTTCTAATATTACTGGTCTGTGACATTGAAAGACAGGCATCATTTCCAAAGTGACCTGTTTGTTTTTACCTACTTTCCCTTTCCCTCCCCCACTCTACTGCCTCCCTTCCTTCTTCCCTTGGGAGCCGTGGCAAGGAACATGTAATGACTGGTTATTCTATATGCTAATTTGTATGTTGTATCTACCTCATTTCAGAGGGAAGGAGTTTTGTGTGACCTTTTGCAATTCATTTGGGCTGTGTCCCCAAAGAGCTCTTCTTTGAATAGCTGCTTATTGGCAGAATCACTTTGAAGATGTGTTTTGTGCATTTCATCAGCATATGAGTATTTTTGCACTTGGATATCAGTCTAGTGTTAGAATAGACCATTCCTTGTAGTTTCTATTCAATCTTAGTCACTCTGACCTTAGTTGGAGACAGTTAAGTTTGTGTTGTATTGGAGTCCAAGCCCTATTTTGTGTACACAGCAAGTAGAACATTATACATTTTTAGTAAATGGTAATTAATGCTTTATTTAAATAAAAAATACATATCAAGAACAGTGAGTAGTAAGTTAATAGAAATAAACACCTTATTTTGTGTCACATCTTTTTAACCAGTTATTTTTGTTTGTTTGAAACAGTGTTTTAGCATAAATTCACCCTATCTCTCCCCCCCCTTATATTATGTGTTTTTAACATGCCCATAAAAAGTGACAAAGTCTACATTTGCAGTTTATGTTCTGGGTGTGGCCCACTGAAATTGAATCTAGGCCTGTATCCATTTTTCCTCCCCTTTTCAGGTAGTAATGAGTTGTGTTTGTCATGATACCATGACCCCACCCACTATAGAAAAGCTGGTGACCTGGGTGAGTATGTGAGGCACAGCCATCAGTCACCTGCCATGGTTAGCTACATGCTGTGCATTCCTCTTCGCTTAGTTGAGGCAATAATTACCCCCTTAGAACTGGGAGGCAGATGGGTTACTGGGTTTTAAGCTTCTTCTCCTTGGGGTGCCTTGTAAACATGGCAGGTGGAACAAATTATGCATACAGAACACTGGTTGTTTCATGGAAGACCGATAATTTTTCTTAGTTATTTTCATGTTTCTGTAGTGTGCACACACAGACACATGAACAAATTTGTGAGTTACATTTAAAAAATCATGTCCCAGGTCAACAAACAAAATGGTCATAATTGGAGAATTTTTTTTTGTAGTCTAATCTCCAGTAAACTGTTTGCAAAAAGTATTTTAGTTTTTACAGTGTCTTAGAAGAAATTTTTCTTTGAATGCCAATGACCTAGAGGTAATCATCGTTGCTGTTTGTGGGCAGAACAATTAAGGCAAATTATAACCTGACTAGTGCCCTGCTGAGGCATGACAGAGCCTCCAAAAATTCGCCAGGCCTTGCCAAACAGAAGTATTTCTGCTATGCTTTTGTCTAGTTGAGGAAACTTGGCATCTAGACAGAGCGAACCTTTGAACATAATGATTAGAATTGAGATGAACTGCTTCAAATGAAGTGAGCTGCAATACCAAATTATATTATAATTGAATGACTGCCAACCTGCTGTGAATTGAAAAACAACGACCCTAAGAATTTAGGCTCACTTTAATAAGTATAGGGCCTAGGTACTATTGCATAATATGTATTTTAGGGGTTTAGCTGTTTCAGTCACAGA